TACATCCCACCGCAATGCAGTTTAATTTTGCCTGCAATAATTCAGACGGCAGATACGATAGAGCACAAAATACGTGTGTGTTAGTTTATTTTATTTAAATTAAAATATTTTTCCCCTCTCTCTCCTAAGATAAAATAACGCAATATTTCCGTTGCTCAATGTCTTTTCTACTAATCAAAACATCAGTCACGCATTGTTCCAACTGGACCCACCTAGCCGAAAAAATTCGTCTTGTATACCTAGCATGGCTATGTTTTCACTGTTTGTTACATCAGTATCTTGCGCACTTTTTATTCACTTCTTCTGATTGACTTCTACTTAAATGTTTCGCACAATATCTGTTCATTTTTTTCCAAACTGACGTTTTCCTTAATGTCTAGTCCGCTGTTTCTTCTCTTTACCTTTGTTTTTTGTTAATATATTACATCCTTTTTTTTTTTTTTTTCTTTTCTCTGGTTCTCTTGTTCATATCTTTTGCATAGTTCATTATCCTTTCTGTTTGAATATTGCGTAAGAATCTCACACATTGCTTGTTCTCTTCCCTGTTTGATTTCCATGTTAATATCTACCTCACTGTTTGTTGCAATTTATATTTGTTTTTTACGTTGGAATATATCGCCTTTTTTTCTGGGTTCTGGCCGATTGCGACTTCTATTTGCACTCTTGTATTTAATCACTGCATTAGCATCTCGCGCAGTGTTTTCTCCTAATTTTATCTCAACAATTTACGCGCTGTATCTCATCTTCCCTATTTTTGATGATTTATTTTTTAACGTTTTGCGATCTTTTGTAGCGCGCGCTGCTCTGTACCCTGTTTGATTGTTGCAGTTATTTCTTGCCCGCTGTTCTGTTTCCTGCCCTTTTTTTTTTTTTTTTCTTGCGTTAATATTTCGCGCGCTGTTTCTCCTCTTTTCTACTCGACTGTTTTATTTACTATGCGGGCACTTTCTGTTCCCTCTTCTGTTAGTTTGTTTTTTTTTTATTTACTATTTGGGCACTTTCTGTTCCCTCTTCTGTTAGTTTGTTTTGTTTTCGTACACCTGCGTACAGTTTTTATCACACTTCGATGATTATCACAATTGCATCCTACGGGAGAATTGAAAACTGGATCATAGCTATGTAGATCAAGAATTCATTTTGAGTTTGTGAAAACTTTTCTGACACTCTCACATTTTTAAACATATAGCCAACTTCCTGCATTCAATTTTCCCATCCCAAGTTATTTTACCTCCCTATTGATATACTTAATAGATCTAACAGCTGAATTGCAGGTTTCGTTATTGCACGCCTTCGAGTCAGCCATGCTTACAAAAGCATGCAAAAACTATTCCTTGACTTTAAAAAAAGACGAAAAACGTCAATGCAAAGAAATACCAGAGTCCATTTTAAGACAAGGAGCAGGAAGAAGAATCTTTGTATAGGATCAGTGATCATTCTGTTCCCTCTCTGGCTCATTGTTGTCCTCATTGAATTCATCTTTCCTAAAACAAACATTAGGCATTTGTCACTATTTCAAGTTTAAAGCATAAAGAATTGATTTCCTAAACTTTCCAAACTACTTCAAGATTATCATTTAATTGTTATTGTTGTTGATTTTTTACGAAATAAAGTTAACCTTTTTAGAGTTAGCTTAAGTTTCTCAGATTGCCTGTCCCGTCATAGCGTTTAGCATCGTATCGACGTTGAGAAATTAATTCTGACTAAGTTGTAAACAAACGAAACTCTAATTGAAGGTCAATTTTAGGAAGCAATTCATCAAAATCTTCCGGCTCCGAGTACTACTACATGAAGTCATCTTCTCTTTCTTGATGAAAGACAAAGACAAAAACCAAAAAAATAAACAAACAAAAACTAACCACAAGTTGGTCATGTGAAAAAGTTAAATGTGTTATTCAGTTTATTATAGAATATTGCTCGTTATATCAGACTTACCCACTTTCCGTAAAATCGAACGTCACGTTATCCCCCATCAACACAAACGGAGCCCATTGGAAAGGTTTGGGAAAGCCATTACTTCTCAACCATTGAACGGCCCGGTGAAGAGATTCACTGGCACTTTCTCCACGAACAAGGTGTTTGTAGAAATTTTTCATGAGCTTCGACGTTGCTTCGTCTTCTAAACGGGTGGTACGAT